CGTTGACATTCTTAACCGGAAGTTGACCATAACTTCATTAATATTGAAGATAAATATGTCGTGTTTGTACTCATTTTAAAGGATTTTTAATGAAGATTACAAATATGTCAAAATTGAGGTTGACATTTTAAACCTGAAGTTAGCTATCATATAATAGATGTTTTATAACTGAAGTTAATCTAGTGTTGGTCACTTTTCCGCGCTTTCTTGTTTTTTTTAACGTTTTTTTTGGGTCGTTTCGCATTCATTAAAAAAATCATTATTCATTTGTTGCTTAGTCAAGTGATGCATAACGCGGTCCAATAAAAAATTGATAATTGAAATGAACTTTTTAAAAGTATTTGTAGGAGTTAGTCAAAAAAGAGTTCAGATACCTTATTAGTGAAGATGTCAAGGTCTACAAGACATATGGCGTGTTCGGCAAAGAATCTCACAAGCAACCTCTTTGGGGGGATCGGAAAAGGAAACGAAGATAATTCCGTTTTTACTTCAACTTCTTTTCTGGGCGTCATGTCGTTGTCACGGCATCCACGCACTCGTCCAATAACAACATTGTTTTCTCACGCGTTGGATGAGATTTTATCATCGCACCTTTTGCCGCCCGATTTGTCAAAGGGTTAACGAACGACCAGTTATGTGGAAAAATTAACGATGTGGAAAATCAATAGAAACCATCTCTTATTATATTATCTCATTTTTTTTATACATATATGTACACATAACCATTTTGAAATAATGAAATCATTGAAAAATTCTTCTCGGATGACGTCTTTTGTAGGTTAGAAATACGAATGACGACGATTTTCCTTTCAATCGTCGGATGACCTTAAAACTCGCGAAAGAGATGCCGATCTGACATTAATCATAAACAATTCGAGTCGGCAAACGGCAGGAAACGCTGCTGTTGCTCTTGGAACTTCTCGGTTATACAATAAACCAGTTTTCAAGACGGGAATGTCGGCGAACTGGACTCTCAATATGTGTGTTACCAGTTTATAACTTTAGATAGATATCAAAATCGAAAGAATTTTTAATTGTCTTTTGGCCGCATCATCTTTAATTTGATGGCACAAACGTTAAAAACAGAAAATGAGACTTAATAGGCGTGTGGTAAACAAGGTGATAATGTAACAACTATAAAGTTGCGTTTTCCGCATTCCAAAACACAAATTTAAATAAAGCGAGATAAAAGATTCTTCATCTTGCGAAATCTTGAAAAGAATTTTAACATCTTTCGCAAGGCGCCGTGGCTTAGTTGGTTAAAGCGCCTGTCTAGTAAACAGGAGATCGTGAGTTCGAATCTCGCCGGTGCCTTAAAAACCTTAATTATTCACTTTTTGTTGATCTCAAAAAAAAAATTTATTTTCAATACTTACATATTTTATAAATCATTTTCGCTTTAAAATTTAAAAGCTGATTTAAGATGTCTTAACACGAGAACGAATGATTTTTAACTGAGGGAGTTTTGAGACAAAGAACTAGCTCGCGTCTGGAATCATTTGGGGAACACCTTTTTCGTACACCGAGGGTGCGCCCTTGTTTAAAATAATCCGGATAACATCCGTTTTGAGACCCCCCCAAGTTCTCGATGACATTTCAACGACGTTAAAAATAAATGTGTAAATTAAAAAATTATCTTCTTTTTAACAACTTTTTTATCAAGGTTAATAAAGTATCAAATAAGGGTCAATGCCGGTTGATTAAATATTAATTTTTCGATTAATTCTAGAACGATATAAAATGATTCATTTAATTAGAAACACAATAACATCACTTTTCCATTAAAAATAATATTACATCATTTCTAAATAAAGAAATAAACAATTAGATTTTTTCCTTGGAAAAACTCGGTCATAACTTTCTGAAAACGAACGATTTTTAAATAAAACCTTTTAGCACATAATTTAACACGTTCGGTAAAGTTCATCGACACTTATCTTAAAAGAACTCTTTTGTATTCGCCCGTGCGTGTTCCAAAGGATTTATTAACACATCCGAACAACAAAGCAGATCGGTTTTCAAAAACCCCTAACCTAACTTCGGGTTAACGAACTAGAGTCTTTGAAACGAGACGAGTTTAAGCCGATTATTTACATTCGATGAATTGGATTAGTTGTTAATATTATTAATAAGATTCCTTACCAGAAAAGGGGCCCTTAAAGCAGCTTTTGTACATATTTCATCAACAACTAAAACGGTTCTAACTAAATATTGAGCGCGATTTATTTAAATAACTTTATCGATGGTTTAAGTAAATTTGTATTATTATGGGTTGGGTTACATATTTTATGTTTGCTATTAGTAATAAAAATAAACTTCCTTAGGCAATTCCTAGAATTTGCTAAAGTACATTACAAAATCTATAAAATATTTGATGATAAGTTGCTTTGCATAAATTTTACAATTTGCAATCTTCCTTTTCTTAATTCCATCATAAAAGATGTAAAATTAAATAAAAATCATTTGAATTTAAATTGACAGAAGAAGTTTAGGTTATGTCATCTTCATTAATTGACAGTTTTCTTCTTTATCGTCATAAAAAAATTATTAATTCAACATTTTCCAAGAAAAATTATTAAATAAAATTAATCTCGAATTAAAAAAGAACATCACAAATTAATTAACAACGAAGCGATTTAAAATTAATCGCCTTAATACGTTTTAAAATCACTTGACAGGTTAAAAAATAAGGTTATGTTTCGATAAAAACTTTTTGATTATTTTAAGGAGGAAAAATCGGTTGGTATTACCTAAAATCACAACATCTAATCAATTTGCGTCTTCAAAATCGTATTTTGATGATTTTTTTTAGTTCAATTAAACTATTTTTGCCAATTTAAGAAAACAGAAGAAATGACAGAAAAAATTTAGGTTATGTCATCTTCATTAATTAACAGTTTTCTTCTTTATCGTCATAAAAAAATTATTAATTCTACATTTTCCTAGAAAAATTATTAAATAAAATTAATCTCGAATTAAAAAAGAACATTACGAATTAATTAACAACGGAGCGATTTAAAATTAATAAAATCAATCGGCTTAATACGTTTTAAAATCACTTGACAGGTTAAAAAATAAGGTTATGTTGCGATAAAAACTTTTTGATTAATTTTAGAAGGAAAAATCAGTTGGTATTACCTAAAATCATCATCTAGTCAATTTGCGTCTTCAAAATCGTATTTTGATGATTTTTTTATTAGTTCAATTAAACTATTTTTGGCAATTTAAAAAAAACAATGCGAAGTTGCATAAATTTTGTAACCCTCCTTTTCTTAATTCCATCAAAAAAGATGTAAAATTAAGTAAAAATCCTTTAAATTTAAATTGGCAGAAGAAATTTAGGTTATGTCATCTTCATTAATTGACAGTTTTCTTCTTTATCGTCATAAAAAAATTATTAATTCAACATTTTCCTAGAAAAATTATTAAATGAAATTAATCTCGAATTAAAAAAGAACATTACGAATTAATTAACAACGGAGCGATTTAAAATTAATAAAATCAATCGGCTTAATACGTTTTAAAATCACTTGACAGGTTAAAAAATAAGGTTATGTTATGATAAAAACTTTTTGATTAATTTTAGGAGGAAAAATCGGTTGGTATTACCTAAAATCATCATCTAATCAATTTGCGTCTTCAAAATCGTATTTTGATGATTTTTTTAGTTCAATTAAACTATTTTTGGCAATTAAAAAAAAACAATGCGAAGTTGCATAAATTTTGCAATCCTCCTTTTCTTAATTCCATCAAAAAAGATGTAAAATTAAATAAAAATCATTTGAATTTAAATTGACAGAAGAAATTTAGGTTATGTCATCTTCATTAATTGACAGTTTTCTTCTTTATCGTCATAAAAAAATTATTAATTCAACATTTTCCTAGAAAAATTATTAATTAAAATTAATCTCGAATTAAAAAAGAACATTACAATTAATTAACAACGAAACGATTTAAAATTAATAAAATCAAACGTCTTAATACGTTTTTAACTCACTTGACAGGTTAAAAAATAAGGTTATGTTTCGATAAAAACTTTTCGATTAATTTAAGAGGAAAAATCGGTTAAAAAATCACAACATCCAATAAATTTGCGTCTTCAAAACCGTATTTCGATGTCTTTCTTTAGTTCAAGTAAACTTTTTTTGCTAATTTAAGAAAAAAAATAATCGGATTTAAGATGTTAAAAAATATTGTAGCTTTTTGACAATTCAAATATTAACCAATGAGAGTGTCTAAAAACATGTAACCATGACAACATAGATGAGTATCCACAAAAACAAAAATTTTTTAATGTCAAATTTAGGTTATGTTTCATTGCATTCAAATTAAATCCCAATTACGTAACACATTCAACGATAACGTTTAATTATCCACATTAAACCTAGAATATACCTAAACTTTCCCTATTACGTTATCCAGTCTATCTTAAAACCGGCAGGTAAGCACGTTTTTACAAACATTTCTTGTACTTTCAAAATCATCACCTCAAAAAAAATTAAATCGTAACTTTTTATCATTTAAAAGGGGACCCTTTTAAATTTGCATATTCATTGAAGAAACGGCGAAGAAAGTATCTCATTCAATAAGATTAAAAAAAAAGTTGGTCCATCTGGACCAAAATTGTGAGCAAGAAGAGCACAACAACGTGAGATGTACCGCTACGAGGCCACGGACACAAAACTCAAGGCTCGTTTCTCTCCTTCTTTACTTCACCTCTTTCCTTCATCTCCTCTCTGTTGAGGTATGTCTTTAACGGTTGTCTTGTGACCCGTCTGGTCTCTTTCTATCTCTTTCTATTGGGTGCCCCCCACATTGGGGCCACCTAAGATTGTATTACCGTTCCGGTTGGGCTTCATTTAATTTCATATAAAATAATATTACCAAAAATTAACCCAACAAAATTTTCGAAAAATTAAAACTAAAGAGGTTATTGGGTTAATTAACTCTTAAAGTATAAATTCTCTTATTTACTTATTTAAAATAATAAAAAAACTCACCGATAATTATTCTTTTCTCGTGTTATTCTCGTGAAATCATCAAAAGAATCCATAGAAAATTAACGAAGAACTTCACACAGAAAAAAAAAACTTTAACTTCACATCAAAATTAACAACACTGTTAATAACCGAATCGAATAACGTGCGAAAACACGAACTTTAAACGTGAAACGTGCGTGAACTCGTCAAAAGCGTCACTCTACTCGTAACAACTCTCAAGAACTAAACAGCTCTCAAGGAACTGAAAACGTTCAACACTCAACAAGTGGATTCGAGAAACTTTAACGCACGGATTTCTATCTTGTAAGAATCTCACCGCTTAATTATTTATCTTAATAAATCGGGTAAGTTGAACAACACGTTTAGAACGATTAATTAAGTCCATTAAATCGTTTATTTGTTAAAATCTGAAAATCATTCCACAAATTAAATTTGATTTAGGGAATTTTACTTTGCTTAGGTTGGTATGATTGAATTTTCAAAATCTACCTAGAGTATATTTAAATATCTGGAGACATTTTGTAAGGAGGCGATAACTTAAATGGATTCTAACCTAACTTTCATCTAATTATTAAATTATACCGGGAATTTCATATATCTCGTAATATTTGAATAATAATTACGAAACTATTTATACAAAGGAGAAGTTTTGCTTGAAAAAGGTGATCCTTATGATGACTTTGAGTTTCCGTCTTAAGAGACACACGGCTAAACCCGAATGTTTCTGGTTCTAGGTCTAGTGTTAGTTCTTTTGTTAGTTTCCTTGAAATAAAAGTAGAACTAACGCTAGAACTAGAAACATTCGGGTTTAGCCGCTCGTCTCTCAAGACGGCTAAACCCGAATGATTCTAGTTCTCGGTCTAGTGTTGGTTCTAGTTTTAGTTCAATAAAAATATGCAAAATAAGTGATTTTATGCTAACTGTCGCAACCTACCACTTATCAGCCGTCTTAAGACAGGTACAGAGCTAAACAGAATGTTTCTAGTTTTAGGTCTAGTGTTAGTTCTAATGTTAGTATAGTTTTATTTGTTATTCAACGCTAGATTATTGTACATTTTTATTGAGCTATAACGGACACTTTCTTCCCTGTATTAAGATGTAGGCAGCCAATTTTACACAATTTTTTTTCATAAATTTATTTTAATTATTTTTATTTATAGGAATTTTATTAATTAATGATTAATAAATATTAAAAATTAAACCAAAATCCAATAATAATATAAATTATTAAAAAAAAATTAATATTTAAATTTGACGTTTCAAATAATATGTCATTTTGAATATTTTATGCTAACTTCTTACGCTATTAAGAAGTAAGCAACCAACTTTACACGATTTTTTTTTCATAAATTTATATTAATTATTTATAGGAATTTTATTAATTAATGATTAATAAATATTAAAAATTAAACCAAAATCCAATAATATAAATTATTGAAAAAATTTAATATTTAAATTTGACGTTTCAAATGTCATTTTGAATATTTTATGCTAACTAGCTTTTACTTAATGATTAATAGATATTAAAAATTAAACCAGAATCCAATAATAATATAAATTATTGAAAATAATTAATATTTAAATTTGACGTTTCAAATGTACATATGTCATTTTGAATATTTTATGCTAACAAGCGCTATTAAGTAGGCAACCAACTTTACACGATTTCTTTTTTTATAAATTTATTATTTATAGGAATTTTATTAATTAATGATTAATAAATATTAAAAATTAAACCAGAATCCAATAATAATATAAATTATTAAAAAAATTAATATTTAAATTTGAAGTTTTAAATATGTCATTTTGACATTTCAAATAATATGTCATTTTGACGTTTTAATTTTAATAAAAACCATTCTTTTTATTACATTTTCACTTAATACATAATCAATTACATCCTAATTGTTATTATTTATTGTTGCAATTTACGTTTTTTCGACGACGGTTTCCCAAAAACTTGTTTAACCCCTCCGGCTTGTGTCGAATGGAACTTTAAATTTTGCGACGTTTCGCTAACCCAAGGCGAATCGAATTGCGTCGTATCCTGATCGACTAAATGCGTGTATTTGGTCCTTCCAGATCGACCAAAATTTTTCACCTGCATCACTTTTGGAAGAGTTGTTTTATCAAAGTGATCATCCAATGTTGCTTGTGAGAAATCTCTTTTATAAACATCGTCGTCTTCGTCCAAATAGAAAGCACCGCGATGATAATATTTCTGTAAAAATTTATATTTTCCTTTAATCGCCTTATTTGTAACCATTTTCGGATTTAATCTCGATTCTAATCTTCGTTCTTCCTCCGTCATGTTTCTTAATCTTTCAATTTCTAAACGTTCCTTTTCAACGGCTTCGCGTTCTTCACGATCACGTTTAATTCTTTTTAATTCTCTTAATTTCCATGCTTCGTATTCGACTTCATCGTTTTCATCATCCGTACAAACGTCGTTAATGTGTGGTTCGTTTGTGTCTTTATCTTTAGCTTGATTCTCTTTTCTGATGGCATCTTCGACCATTCTTAGTGTTTGCCTTCTTCTTTCTTCTGCTAATTTAGCTTGTTCGGCTTCCGCTTGTTTTTGTTTTAAAGCTTCTTTTTCTTTTTCGATGACGGTGATTCGATCGCGTTTTAAAACAAAGACAGGTTTTAATCTTGGGCCGGTTTCTTCTTCCGAATCGGTGTATTCTTCATATTCGGAACTTTCTGAAGATTCCGAGTCGGATTTTTCTTCCTCTTTTGCTAAAAATTCTTGTTCTTCTTGTTTTACTAAAATTCTTTGTTTTAATAGTTCACGTCGCTTTTCGATTTCGGTGTCGCTTAATTCCACTTCGGATTCTTCGTCATCGGGGGCTTCTAAAGTGTGTTTAGGTTCGGGTAAATGATTGTGATGAAGCGGTACATCGGAATCGCTATCGCTTTCTTCTAAAACTTCCGGTTCGATTACATGACGTCGTCTTTCCGGTCGAACTTCTGTGTTAACCTCGCGGATTTTTAATCGACGTAAACGGGGATCGTTCAAATTTTCTTCGTCGCTTTGTTCTCGTTCGGGAGTTTGTTCTCGGATTGTTGCCGGATTTCTTTTATCTAAGAAATCTTCCTCGTCTGTTTCCGATGAACTTTCACCGTCTTGAGCGTAATCCGGTCGTTTTCCCGATACGTATCGGTGCACTTTAACTTTTTGCATCGATAATTCACCTTTGAAAAGATGAGAAAATTAGATCACAAATTAAATGAGAAATAAAGTTACCTTTTTCATTTCTGATGGGAATTGCACCCGCTGTACTTTGAATACCAAATGTTGTTTGGGGGTTCATCATCGTTTTTGAGAAAATGGAAAATTTATCAAAGAAAATATGTAAATAGTTTATTGACGTTTGCTTTTTGACAGATTGAGGTTAGAAGTCATACCAACATAAAAGTGGAGGTGATAAAATAATAAAAACTCAGTTCAAAATCTTTATTTATTAAAGACGCCTGAAAAAATGAGTTTAAATAATAGAAATAGTTTTTGGCGCTGTATAAAAATAAACTAACCAAAAAAATTAGTTTGACCAATTTCTTATTAAAGTTAATTAAGTTTTCGTTATTCAGCTTTATTACAGTTTCCTTCCTCGAAATTAACACCATTTTCAATACAGCCATCTTATTTGTTATTTTTCTCTCTTATCTTATCTTGGTATTCCATAACATTTTTTCTAATTGTCGCATTCTCTCTTCAACTTCCAATAAGCTATATTTTTGAAAGTATATCACTACCATAACAATCCTTTTTTTCAAAATTCAAAGATCCATAAAGTCTTTTAGAATTTTCTGTTGTTATTTCCGGATTCTTATAAATATAACTTGGATCTGATAAGTTCGCGATATGGGAATTGTACCCGCATCATTCTTTTTGAGAAAAATGTGAAAATATATAAATAGATTATTGACGTTTGCTTTTTGACAGATTGAGGTTAGAAAGTTTAAAATAATAAAAACTCAGTTCAAAATCTTTAATATTTATTAAAGAAGCATGAAAAAATGAGTTTAAATAACAGAAATAGTATTTGGCACTGTATAAAAATAAACTAACAAAAAAAATCCGAAAACAAGCTTTATTACAGTTTCCTTCCTTGACATGTTATTTTTCTCTCTTATCTTATCCTGTTATTCCATAACATTTTTTTTTAATTATCACATTCTCTCTTCTGCCTCCAATAATTGACATAGAAACTATTTATATTTCACTTATATAGAAGCATTATTCCGCACTATTTTACCGACCAAATTGAATGCAGCATCGCCAAGGGGATTGTAATAGAAGTAATTTTAATAAACCGCGATATTTGAATGTGTTCGGTATATTTATATGTATATGTATGTATGATACAATGCCTGAGTTCAATTATACTCAGGTTTCCACTTCTTAGTTTAATTGATAAATAGAACACAATAGTTTATTAAATAAATTTATTTTATTCTCTTTAAAAAAATATGACTGCCTTGAACAGCCAATTTGTTCTTAGAATTTAGTTTTCTAGTTTTACCTTTTATATGCTATTTATCCTTTTACAAAAGTTGAACAAAATTAATTTTACAAACATATTTATAATAAAATTTTGTGATGTCTTCTTTATGGCAAAGAAATGTGAAGTTAACATTATCCCTGACATTGACATATGACACTGACGGCGATTATCTAGCGCCATCTAGTGGATTGTAATAGTAAATAAAATTCCGTCTTTATTTTATACCTATCAAGAAATCATACCTTGATAATTGCTTGGAAGCTTCATCTATTCTTGTTTCAATGGTTTTATTTATTTTTGAAAGTATATCACTATCATAACAATCCGTTTTTTCAAAATTCGAAGATCGATAAAGTCTTTTAGAACTTTTTGATGTTATTTTTAATTACTGATAAGTTCACTATATGCATTGAAACGTTTTAAAAGCCATTTCAGTTTCACTTTAACTTTATGCATGAATTATTCACCTTTGACGGAAAATATGTAATTTATTGACGTTTGCTTTTTGACAGATTGAGGTTAGAAGTGATACCAACATAAAAGTGGAGGTGATAAACTAATAAAAATTGAGTTCAAAATACTTAATATTTATTAAAGGCACCTGAAAAAATGAGTTTAAATAACAGAAATAGTTTTTGGCACTGTATAAAAATAAACTAACGAAAAAAAAATTAGTTTGAGCAACTTCTTATTAAAGTTAATTAATTTTTAGTCATTAACACTAGAACAAGCTTTATTACAGTTTCCTTCCTCGAAATTAACTCCATTTTCAATACAGCCATTTAATTTGTTATTTTTCTCTCTTATTTTATCTTGGTATTCCATAACATTTTTTTCTAATTGTCGCATTCTCTCTTCAGCTTCTAATAATTGTTTGGAAGCTTCGTCTGTTCTTGTTTCAATGGCTTTATTTATTTTTGAAAGTATGTCGCTACCATAACAATCTTTTTTTTCAAAATTCAAAGATCGATAAAGTCTTTTAGAACTTTCTGATGTTATTTCTGGATTCTTATAAGTATGACTTGGATCTGATAAGTTCACTATATGCATTGAAACATTTTGAAAAGCCATTTCATTGTATCTAATAAAAATTTGCGAATAAAGATGCGTCGGGTGCTCTCTGTTCAATGAATTCGTCAATAAACAACACGTAAATAAATTATCAAGAATACTGAATGATTTAGATAAGTTTTTATGGATTATTTTCTCTCGAACTGTAAGTCTAAAACCGTTTGCACGCTTAAATTTAAACCAAGCGACCACTTTTCCTAAATTGCCACCTAAAAATTCTTCCATTTTGTTCTTATCAATTTTTCCAGTTCCATCATAAAAAAATCCAATATTTGGACAAGGAACTGCTGTATTTATTTTAATAATTCGCTCCTTTTTAACCATATTAACATCGTTATCAGTTAACGATTGCGTTTCATTTTCGGTGATATCTCCCAACAAAAAGCCTTCCTAAACAATTTTTTTTGAGGTTATGTTTATTAATTTACGTTAATTTGTTGATTTTACTTACTTGATTGTACAACGAACAAACGTTGTCGTAAAGAAGTAGTGAAAACGCAGTCCCCGATAGGGAAACACTTAGAGTTTCAACCATTATTAAAAAGTTATTGAAATAAAATGAGAAATTNTTTTTTTTTATTATATTTTTGTTTTTGTGACAAATATTAAGACATTTTATAAAAAATAAGCATATGTCAAAATAACATTGACATTTCAAACCGGAAGTTGCTTATATCTCGATTAATATTGGAATTAAACGTATCATGTTTGGACTCATTTTAAAGCATTTTTCACGACGATTACAAATATGTCAAAATTGACTTTGACATTCTTAACCGGAAGTTGACCACAACTTAATTAATATTGAAGATAAACATGTCGTGTTTGTACTCATTTTAAAGGATTTTTAATGAAGATTACAAATATGTCAAAATTGAGGTTGACATTTTAAACCTGAAGTTAGTTATCATGTAATAGAAGTTTTATAACTGAAGTTAATCTAGTGTTAGTCACTTTTCCGTACTTTCTTTTTATTTTTAACGTGTGTTTTGGATCATTTCACATTGATTAAAAAAAATCGTCGATTGCCATATGATGATTCCTGAATTATTCCTGTTTCTTAATATATCTTTGGTTAAAAAAGAGCGTTCTTAAATTTTAATCTGTTAACTTGTAACACTTCGTCCTTAATTTCATTTTACAACTTTTTAAACTTTAATTTTATAAATTAGTAACTAATAATCTGATTTCGAATTTGATATGTGATCTTGTCTGTTTGTAAAATGGATAAGATGAGGGATGTTAATCTATTTGTAGAGTCTCCGACAAGAAAGCTTATTATAGTTACTATGCCAACGGACAGCAATGTGTTAAGTTAATAAAAATGTAAAATAATCCAACGATGAATTATAAATTAAACCAAAGCTAACATTGGTACTAGAACTAGCACTACACGAAAATTAGAACTAACATTCGGGTTTAGCCGTCTTAAGAGCTAAATCCGAATAATTCTAGTCCTAGGTCTAGTGTTAGTTCTACTTCTAGTAATAAACTAGGGGACTTTAAAGATGTTCAAAAGTGTCCAGAAGCATTCTAATGGTCTCTATAATTATCAAATAGCGTTTAAACGCTTTCTAGACAGTTATAAAGATTTCCAGACGATTTTTAAAGATGTCCAAAAGTGTCCAGAAACTTTCTAATCTCTCAAGACGGCTAAACCCGAATGACTCTAGTGTGTCAGTTCAATAAAGATATACAACAATCGGGCACTGAATAACAAATAAAACTAGAACTAACACTAGACCTAGAACTAGAAAGTTTCGGGTTTAGCCGTGCGTCTTCAGATGCCGATTAATAACAGCTGATTAAGTCACACTACGTTGACATATCGACATTCTTTTTGAACATAAACAAACTTACCTATTAATTTAATATAAATAAATTTTTCAATTTCTCCAACATTATTGATTTAATGACGTCACTATTCATGTTGTGGTGACGCAAAAATTATTGATTTGGGGGTGTGTCGCCAGCGTGGGCCTCATTTCATTTCATTTCACCTTCGAAGCGTCATCGCGTTGAACCTGGCAAAAATAAAAATAAAACAATTAATTTAATATCATAAAAGTAAACGTGATGGCACCCCACCTTGATAGCGGAGGAGATATTTTCGAAACGCCGGTTTCAAATTTAGTACGTATTTGAATTAATTAACCTAATAATTTCTTTTTTGTTTTAGGTAAAAGAAGCTTTGAAAAATTTAATGTTAGACGATGATGTATTAAAGAGGATTATGACCAAATTCCGGCAAGACGTTGAGGCGGGATTAAAAAAAGCGACTCAACCTACATCGGCGGTAAAATGTTATGTCACTTATGTACAAGATCTTCCAACAGGAAGTGGTAAGTAATTATTTATTTTTTCCTTTTAAATCTTAAATTAATTTAAACAATTTCTTTTAGAGAAAGGAAGATATTTAGCTTTAGATTTAGGTGGAACTAATTTCCGAGTATTATTAATAGAATTATGCGAAACCCATTTCGAAATGAAATCAAGAATCTTCGCCATTCCAAAAGCTGAAATGGTCGGACCCGGTGATAAAATGTTTGATCACATCGCCGAATGTCTCGCAACATTCCTTAAACAAGAACACTTAGATACAGAACCGATAAGTTTAGGATTTACATTCAGTTTTCCATGTCAACAAGTCGGTTTAACAAAAGGCATCTTAATAAGATGGACAAAAGGATTTCAATGTTCCGGAGTCGAAGGAAACGATGTCGTACAACTTTTAAGGGAGGCAATTGCAAGACGAGGTGACATCAAATTAAACGTAACCGCAATTTTAAACGATACAACGGGAACGTTGATGTCGTGTGCTTGGAGGAATAGAAATTGCAAAATCGGGTTGATTATTGGAACGGGAACGAATGCTTGTTACGTGGAAAAGCAACAAAACGCGGAGTTTTTTGACGAACCCGATAAAGGTTCGGGGAATGTTATTATTAACACGGAATGGGGCGCTTTTGGAGATGACGGAGGGATTGATTTTTGTGTAACGGATTATGACAGAGAAATTGATAAAAATTCTATTAATCCCGGCAAACAATTGTAAGAAAATCAGCTTTGTTTATTTTATTAACCTTAGAAAGCTAAAGTACTCGCTAAATTACGATTTTAATAACGATATACAACAGTTTGGTGCTGAATAACGAATAAAACTAGAACTAACACTAGACCTAGAACTAGAAAGTTTCTATGTTTCTTAACAATATACAGGGTGTTTCATTTAAAATCACATACGTCTTAAACAACTTGACAAACTAAGTATTTTTTGCTTAAAAAATTTTTTTCTTAAAATAAATAGTACTAAAATTCTTCTTCATTTTTGAAATCACCTTAGAACATTGATTAAAATTTATAAAGTCTTTTCTGTCATTCAAATTGCCATCAATAAAAAAAGGTCCAATTATTACCAAAAAAAAAGTAAGGTTAGAAACCCTTCGGTCGATCTTGGCAAGACATTTACATAAAAAGTCGATTTTGATCAAAAATTAGTAGACACTACTGCTCTAAATCGATTAAACGTCAAAATTGTTGATTTTCGAAAATTAATTTAATCATAACTCAAAAACTAAAAGCGATGGGTATGGGTATGTATAAATACTTTTTATACATAAAACCTTAGTAATGGGCCA